TCCTCTTCTTATTTAGATGGGCATCATTTTTTTTCATGCCCCAGCTAAAGTTGAATTGGGGTATTTGAGTCTATTGTTTCCAAATGAAGGACATCCTCCTTGGAGTTACCTTGGTTTCTTTCCTGCTTAGGTTAGGCAAGAGAGGCCCCAATGAATACTTCCATACTCATAGAAGGAAAGAAATAGCTCAGAAGAGAACCCAGCTGCCATGTGTGGCTTCATTTTAGATTAACAACCCTTTTTGTCTTTTGATTATGATAGTTTATATGCCATCAAGTCATTCTTGACTCTCAGTGAGAACATAGATAGATTTTCTCCATGACGAACTGTCCCTAACCTTTTCTTTCAGGTCTTCCAATGGTTCTCCCATCGCCACTGTAATCAAGTCCATCGACCTTGCTGCTGGTCATCCTCTTCTTCTCATTCCTTCCACCTTACCCAGCATTAAAGCCTTCTCCAAAGAACTTGGTCTTCGCATAATATGTCCAAAATAGGATAATTGGAGCCTGGTCATTTGTGCCTTGAGGGCTTCCACCCTGGGATTCCAAGGGCTGCCACCCTATTAGCCTTTCAGAGAGCTGTGAAGACCTGCCTCTTCACCCAGTCTTCGGGCTTGGATAGAAGCAAGCGCAGAAAATGTAAGAGGATGAGGAGTTTATATGATGTTTTGGTGCTGTGCTTGGGGTTGGTTTGTTTTATTTATTCTGTTTTTATTTAATATTAATGTGAGCAGCCTAGGATTATTTTATATAAGATATGCAGCCATATGAGTTTCTAAATAAATAAAAATAAATCAGTCTGCAAAAGTAACGGAGATGTTACATAATATAAAAATAAATAGTTGGAGGTGAGCAAGTGTACACTTTTGTAACTCACAAGTGGTGGAAATGTCCCAGATACTACATTCTTTTGGAATTGAGCCCAGTTTGATTGTTTTTGGAGGTTACAAGAAAATGTATACGTGTTTTCAAACTCTCTCTTTTCTTAACTGTGTTTTCTTTACATTTCCTCAAATACATGTAACTTATGATGTCACTTGGCTAACACACATACCATGTCAGTCAAATCTTTACATCTAACTATTCCCCCATCACACATACACACACACACAAAAACCCCACTTGCCCAAGATAGTATAGGCATTATATCTGTAAGGTTTTCCATACATTACTGGGTATGCAACTTTCTTCAACATGCTAACTTTGTATTGATACTTGAAGCAATAAAATTCCTTCTGTTGGAGGGGGAGTATGGACAAGAACAAAGCCAGAGACAACAAGCAAATACGGAGCTGTTTATTACTATACAATCTTAGTGCAATAGTGTATTTACAATCATTCCAGTCATAAGTGTTTGTGCGTGTGTGCGTGTGGACAGAGAGAGAGAGAGAGGCTGGATAGCATAGTGGTTAGAGTACTGCCCTTTGACACGGGAGACCTGAGATTCAAATTCCAGCTAGTACCTATCTTACCAGTAGGGGTCCTTGGGCAAAGACCACCTAATGCCTCACCTGCCTACCTCAGATATGAGAGTGACATGAACTAAGAGAGTCATGCCAGCTCAGACATTGCCCAAATTAACAAGGTCCATGCCAGATGTTGGGGAACCAGGACAATCTGACGATAAATGGGCTACTGGAACAAACCATACATGAATGAGACAAGAGAACCTGGAATTGATGGAATGCTACTATAATAGTAGATCTAATAAGAGGGGATATATGACAGAAGACCTACATCTACACTAACTGAGAAATAGCTAGTTACCCAATGCTTCAACATAGTGAAGAGGAAGCTACTCTCACAACTTGAGATAGACCAACTACTCATTACATCCTGGACTCAAGAAGACCCGGAAGAACAACTGGATGTGCAGCCCACCCTTGAAGCTGGAATGTCACTGCCACCCCCTCTATTACAGAGCATAGCAGCTGATATGAGGCATATGATCATGAATAAACTAGCTATAGTCAACCCTC